GGACAGAGTTGCAACTGAGATGGAAAAGGCTGCAGGGGTGGCAGGCGTGTTTAGGAATAGGATCTGGAGTTCAGCTTTAGACACTGGGGTTGAGAGCCCCTCAGACATGCAGGAGGATATGTTTAGTAGGGAGGTGGATACACAAGGCTGGAATCTCCTCTGAGAGGAGGCCCAGGCGGAAGGTTGTCAGCATACAGATAGTATCCAAAACCCTGAGACTACAAAAGGTCACGTGGAGTGAGAACATGAACAAGAGACACAGGAGCCGGGCCCAGGGCCCTCCAATGCTGAGAGGTGCAGGAGATGTGGAGGAACCACCCAAGGAGACTGAGAAGGAACAGCCAGGAAGGTGATGCCCTGGAGGAGAGAAAGATCGGCTGCCGAAAGGCCACAGGTCGGAGAACTAACCATCGAATTTAGCTACATAAGGGGTCATTGGTGATCTTGACGTGAGTGGTATTGGTGGAGTGTTTGGAATAGATTCAGGAGATGACCTGGAAACAGCACCCTTGCAGTATCTTTCATCCTAAAGGTGCCATGCAGCCACTCACTGCTGACAGCCAGGGCCAAGGTGAGGGCAATGCCAACCATCCAGACCAGATATTGAGTCCTTGACCTGCCCTTGCTCCATCCCGCCCATGCCAGGCTCCGCTGCCAACAACCGATGTGCATGTCTGGAGCAAGATGCACAGGTACAAGGGGGAACAATACGAGGGGGCCCTGAGTGTTAACAGGCTGGGGGAAGGGGGACAGAGCTACTGAGTGACTTCATTTTGCTGCTGTCTTCTCCAGCTGGGAGGTGGTCTTCAAAAAAAAAAAAAAAGAATAAAAAAAAACTATCACGCAGAGGGAATTGGAACCTGAGGTGAGGAGATAGTAATAGAACACGCAGCCTCTGCAAGGGGTTCCAGATGGCCGTGCAGGGCTGCCCTCCAATTCCACCCCTGGGCACAGGGCCACTGGCCCACCAAGGGGAATTGAAGCAAAGCATAAAAAATGGAAAGGCTCAGATGATTTGGGGTAGATGAACGTCTCACTCTTTAACCAAGGAAAGCACAATCACAGAAACTACATACTGATGATGGAGCCTGTAGCCAAACTCTATCTCCAACTCTTGAAAGGAATCCTAAAAACGAAATAATTAAAATGCTTAGGACACTGCCTTGAGGACTCCAAAGCACTGTTGTTATAATAATATATGCTATACATACATAGTGTATATCATAGCGTATGTTCTATTATTATTATTCTGTAAGGCTCCAGTGCTTAATGGGTAGGAGTGCCAGAGAGACAGATTTTATATTAATATTTGGTAGAATTTTTCATTCCTAGATTTATCCCACAGCACAGAAGTGAGCTGCCTTGTAAGATGATGACTCCCCATCATTGGGCATATATCCAAGCAGAAGGAGATAACCAACCCCAGATCTGGAAGTGTAGTCTGCCAACAGCACTGACCTCCTCCACTGAAGAGCTGACACTTTCTAACTGGGTTGGACGATGCCTCTTGCCATTGGTATCGACCACCCCACTGGACCCAGCTCACCCATGTACTTGTCTGTCCCACTTCCCCCTCCCCCTGCCCCTGCAAACCCGTGGCTGGCAGAACAGATTATCCAGCCATCCCTAGGCCACACACAGCCTCTCTTTTCAATAAATAACAAAACTTTCCAGATATGGAGGCTTTGGAGTTAATGATATCATACGTAAATATTCCAACAATCCAGAGAGGGGGCTACCTCATTCCCATTTTGCAGATTGGAACACTGAGAGCACAGAGTTAATGAGAACCAAGATTCAAAGTGAAGTCTCTAGGCCACCCCATTCCACACAGCAGACAAAGGGCCGGTCCCCTGGACAAGCTGTTTCAACTTCATTCTCATCTTGGCCATAGCTTATCAGAGGCCTGCACCCTGTCATGTCTACTGGAGTCCAGGTCCACCCTCTGAATGGCCCAGGGTCATCCATGTAGGTGACAGCACTCAGTGGAGATCTCCAGGCTTAACTCATCTGAGGGCCCAGAGACAACTGTGGCCAGCTAGGCTGCCCAAGCCAAAGTCCATTGGGTCCATCTTTTCAATGTCCTCTCATTGATGAGTTAGTAAAGTAGAGGCCCAGAGATGGGCAGCGCTGTGGCCAAGGTCACACAGCAAGGGACAAAAACCAGGCTCATGACCAGCCAGAGCTGCGTTGCCCTCCTCCTGATGCAAAACAAAGTGAGCAGGCCAGGAGGGTGCTGAGCCAGCTCAGACCCAGTCCCTTGCCCAGAGAGAGATGAGCAGAGCTCTCTTCCAGCTCACTGAGCCCTCTCTCACTGCTACAGCCCTCTAGAGCCAGTGATCAATCCCCACTGCACAGGCAGACGCCCCCGCTATGACTGCCAAGTGCAGCCTTAACGGGTCTGAGTCCTGGGACTTGCTACTGGAGGCAATCGCTGCCAGTATTTGCAAGACGATCAAGAGCCAGAGACAAAGGTAGCTGAAGCAGGGCCTGTGGGAGGGCTTATTGGGGGGCTTCCAGCCTAAGGCTTGTCACTATTAGCACTGGCCAAGCAATGTCTACCCCACTCCACTTATCACCTTCACTGCACCACAGGCCTCTGAGCAGGGCCATGCATGTCACTGCTGGGGTGACAGGCCGGCACCACTCACCTGACAGGGGCCTTCACCTCCCTCAGCCAGCCGCTCTGGTCAGTTAGTGGCTAGCCACACCTCTGCCTCAATGGCCACCTGTCCCATGTATATTCTCTCCACCCTAAAATGA